TGGGATTCAAATTTTCAATTTCATGAATCAGATTTGGACATTAAATCTTGGAACATGAATGGGATCGTTGGACATCGAATATTCAATTTGGGATCGATTTGGAACTGGACAAGAATGGATCAACGTGGGATGTTAAATATTAATGATTTTTATGAATTTCAAATTTTTTAATTAACAATAAAATTAAAATTAAATTTTAATTTATGTGTAATTAAATTAATATGGGGAGGAGGGAGGAGAACCTGCAACAATCGGAGTGAGCGAAACTATCGATAGTCATTTCGATTNTGGGATTCAAATTTTCAATTTCATGAATCAGATTTGGACATTAAATCTTGGAACATGAATGGGATCGTTGGACATCGAATATTCAATTTGGGATCGATTTGGAACTGGACAAGAATGGATCAACGTGGGATGTTAAATATTAATGATTTTTAGGAATTTCAAATTTTTTAATTAACAATAAAATTAAAATTAAATTTTAATTTATGTGTAATTAAATTAATATGGGGAGGAGGGAGGAGAACCTGCAACAATCGGAGTGAGCGAAACTATCGATAGTCATTTCGATTAATCGTTGCATGAAATTGCTTGCAAACAAAATTGGAGAGTGTTCTTCAAAATTGGCAATTCTTGATTGCACACATTTTTGGAGAGTGTTCTTCAATTTTGCGGAGCTTACTTTTTTCTGTGTGCTAATCATTATTCATTGATCATTTTTGCTTAATGATTTTTGTTTTTCAAAAACAAAAAAAATCCAGATATGGACACATCAATGAAAATATATTTGTTGTTGATAATGATGTTATTCTATAAATAGTTTTCTTCTTTTGATTTGAATTTTGGAAAATTGAATTTCATTTTCGTTTTTCGTTTTTGACTTAATTTGGTCCAATTTAATTTAGATCAAATTCAAATTCAAATTTTTTTTTTGTTTTGCTGCTAATTAATTCATCATTCATCAAATTTCTATAGTGACATTGATATGATGTTTCCTAATCATCATCGATGTTGATTTAGATGATTGAAAAAAAGATGGTCAACAACATCAAAAAAAAATGTGTCACCTTGACGGCCATCACATTTGATCCTTGATGATCCTTGATGATGTTTGTTTTTGCCAAATTAAACCATTCGAACACACCTTGCTTGACCATCATCATCTTGTTTGTGATCATCATCTTGTCTTCAATTTCCATTTAAGAAAAAAAAATGTAATAATTAAAAAAAACAAGCACAGGTAATTTGCAAATTATTATCTTATTTTCCAATATGATTTTCTTTTTTGCTGATGATAATAATCAAAAACTAATGATTGCCAAAAAAATGATGTTCTGTTATTTTTAATCGAGATTATATCGATTGATTAATCGATCATATCAATACAAAATTAATGAATGGCCCTAATTTATTCATTTTTTTCGATCCAAAAAAAACACCCTGTACAACAACTTATTGAACATCGGATGTAAGCGTGCTCGCGTTCCACGAACATCTTTGGGGTTACTCTTACAAGCATCATTAGGCATCATTTTTGCTACATTTGCCTATGGCAATTCATTTTCAATAGAGAAAAAAAAATGAAATCAAATCAAAAAAAAATTTGACGCCCAACCATCTATCCATCATTCAATGATAAATTCTAATTATAATCTAATAAAGTCAAAATAGTCTTCTTTTTTTCTTTTATTTAAAGATCCGATCAGGTAGATATAGGTAGCAACTATATCGATTGTCAGATTTTTTTTTCATCTTCAATGATGGTGATTTTTTGAATTCCCTAAAACATACACACAGCGTACATCATTCTATCCATTGTCTTGTCTATGTTTGTTTAGTTTTTTTTCTTGCTGTGTGTACGTTTTGATTCATCACATCGCACCAGTGAACAACCACATGTCAATCAATTTTTTTTCGTTTGAATCGATGATCCAAAATGATGCTGGTTGAATGATGATGATTACAATGGTAAACACCATGAAATCATTTTCAAATTCAAAGAAAATGATGATGATGATTCGGACTTTGAATAACCGACATTTCTTTTTTAGAAAGATGCAATCAAAATTATATGGTTGGTTTGTTGGTTTGATTGTTGATTTTTTTCTGACTTTTGATTTGTTGTTGAATGTCATTTATGAATTCATTCAGGAAAAAATCCATCCACATCCACACAAATCGATTCTGGTGAATCAAAATAGTCATCATCATTTTTCTGATTTCTGATTTTGTTGATCGCTTGGTCAGTTGATTTGATTGGTCATTTTAGTAGGTTATTTGAAGGGGATGTTTTTGCTTGCAAAAATAAAAAAACATTTTTTTCCACTTTTTTTTGATGCGACAAACTTTTTTGATGAACTAGGATGATTAAAACAAGTTTTTTTTGAATCAATTTTTAATTTCAAAAATTTCAAAATCAACAAAAGGTAACGGATTGAACTTGTGGATGATTTTTGTTTTTGTTGAAAAAATGTTACTAGTTCAAATGCAAATGATGATGATGATGATTACTTTGATGACTTTGAAAATTTGATGATTTTTTTTCCTTTTTAAAAATTTTTTGCAACTATTTCCACCATATAAAGGTAATGAGAAGAAAGAAAAAGCATAGTTTGAAAATTTGGAAATGATGAGTGATGAACAACAACATCGATCGATTGACAATCGATTGATTTCCATTTCGTTCATCATCGATTATCATTGCAATAAATTTTCAATCAAATCAGAGAAAAAATAATGAATGAATGAATATTTCCATTTGATGATTTATTTATTTATTTTTGTTTTCCCCTTTCTTTCTCGTTAATAAATCAAAAATTATCATGAAAATTCGTGATTAATATCGATCGATACCAATCGATATCATTCATTCATCTAATAGGTTTCTATTTCGACTGTATCATCATATTACTTCTCTATTAATATTGATCTCTTTCTTTTCTCTGTATGTCTGGTGTGTGTTCAATAATTCTCAAATAATTTTTTTTCTGTTTGATTCAAACAAAAAAAAAATCAATCAAACAAACCGAAAAAAAGAAGAGTTATTAATAGAAATTGAAACTGAAATGGATGGATGGATGGATGGAAAGATATCCGGACCATATACAGTTGAAATAGATTCGAATGTTCTTCTGCTCATTCTATATTAACTCGAACGTTCGATGTTTGGTGTTTTTTTGTACGATTTCGAATCTCGAAGATTAATCTTTCTAATATCAATTTTTTTGTTGTTTGAATTGAAAAATTGAATTGAGTAGCATCATCATATCAAAAGTTTGGTTTGTTTGGTTTTTTTTTCTAAAAATGTAAAAGTGGTTATCATTATTATTATTCGATCGAATGTTTTGTTGTTTTGCTTTTGGTTTTGGATTAAGGAAGACAAAAAGCCTGAAAATAGAGTAAATATCATCCCGGCGGGCGCCATTATCTTGGATTATTATCATCGGGAAATCCAATTGAAAAACAAATTGACTAAAGAAAAAATGTTCAAGTAAGTAGCTGATGGAAACATTTTTGAAACAATTTTTTTTGAATTTAAAAAACACCCAATTTTTTCTTTCGAAATTGGAATGTTTATTTATTTTTTACCAATTATCATCATTTTTTTCTAATGTCCAGTTTGTTTCTTTCTCTCTCCGTTTCTATTTAGTTGTTTCGTTAGCCATTTCTCTCTTTTTCTTATTTTTTTCTCGTAATCTTTTGTCGGTAGGTAGACTACTTTGAAGAAACGAAGAAAACAAGATTTACAGCAGAAAAAAAACTCTTCATTGCTAATCACAACAACAAGGATGCAAAAAAATGATTTAAGCTATCCAATTTTGTTCAGTCTGTTAGTCAAGTCAAGTCAATCATTCAAGTCAAGTTATTCGATTTTTATTCAAAGTTTCAAGATTTGTGATCGATATCAATTGATAATTTGTGTGTTTGTGTCCCCGGAACTGGATTTAACTTGATCGTTTTATCATTAATTAGATTTTTTTTTGTTGTTGCTGTTTTTACCTTAAAAAATCATTTTTGTTTCATCATCAAAACAAAAAAAAAACATTCGAATTCGAACGTTCAGAAATTCGAACGATTCAAACATTCGAATTCGAACGATTCGATTTGTGTACATTGTTTATGTGTGACCATCATAATCGTCATTGTCATTTTTATTTATGAATAACAACAATGATGGCCGATCCGCAACAACAACGTGAAGATTATTTTGAATGTCATGTTGAACAAATAAAATTATATTCATTACCATTACAATCATTAAAAATTGATTCAATTGATTTTGAACAATGTATTTTAGAATGTATACAACATCGATTAGAAGATGAAAAAAATCAACATAATAATCAAGGTACTAATCAAGATAATAATAATAATAATAATGGCCTTTATAAACGTTTAATAACCGAATTAATAATTAAACCGGATAATATTGAAAATACGGAAAATCTGGTCTATACGGCGGGTATTTATCCAAATCGATTACAATGGACAATAAAATCATCATCAATGTCATTGATTACCGATGATAATAATCATGATCATGATAATCATCATTATTGTATAATGGAATCAAAATTTAATCAAATAAAATTATTATATGTAAATTATAATGAAATGCCAACAATGATTATATGGTTATTATTATCGATACCAAAATGTGTTAAAAATGTTACAAATTTTTGTGATCAACAACATTCGAATCATCATCCACAACGAATGATAAATCCTTCATCGACAACATCCGAATCATCATCATTATTTGTACTAGTCTGGAAATGTTTCAATGAACAGGATGTTTTAAAATTACGTGAAATATATAAATATTTACAATCATTAAAACGTATGAATCAAACATTAATGATGATGATTAGTAATATCAATGTTGATAATAATAATGTTGTTGATGATGATCGTGGCCATAGGGATTTATCATTCATTGATCAACAACAACAACAGCAACATTCAACTTTGAGCAAAATCACGTTGAATCGATTAAATCATCAACAACAACAACAACAACAACAAAATCATTATCCAAGGTGCATTATTAACAATGATGATGATGATGATGAAAATTTTGAAACAACATCGACGATGACGACGAAAGAGCAATCATTATCATTAGCATCACCATCTTCTTCCTTTTCAAACACGATGATAATTTCATCAACAAACATTCAATCTTCAATGAATAATAATAAAATTTCAACAACAACAACAACAACAATCGATATTAATGAATTGAATCAAGATAAAAACTTTTCCGGTCATCCTCATCATCATCGATCATTATCATCACCATCGTCATCATCTTTAACGATTCGTCCACCATTACCATCTAATACAACGACGGCAACAACAACATTATCATCATCGACATCGGATGTTGAACAACAACGTATACGACAAAGACAACCACCAAAAATTATTCATGAACCATCAAATGTAAAACCAACAAATAATGTTATTCTAACGAAATCATTATTAATTGATAAATCGATTATAAATCAATCAAAAATTTATAATAATGGATATCGATTGAATGGTTCAAAAACAGCCACAACTGTAACGACACCAAAACAAAGTGAATCAGAATTTGATACATCACAAATAAATCTTTATCTACGACAGAAAAGATTTCCAAAACAACGTATGTTTCAACATTTACGTTCACGTTCAGTTGATTCAAATCGTCATTATCATCATCATCATTATCATAATAAACAATTCAATGGACCAGATCAGGAAAATATTCAACCAATATCATCATCAACGACTTATACGATACCTTTAAAATCAACACCATCAACAACAACAACATCGATATTGAAATTAAATAAACGAAATAATTTGAAAATGATTGAAAAATCACCGGCAACAACGATGATAATAATTCCAGATAATAATAATATTTTAAATTCTGAAGGTTCATCAATATCGGGTGAAGAATCATCATCATCATCATCATCTGGTGAATTTAATGATTGTAATGATGAATTTATCAACAACAACAACAACAATCAACGAAAAAGAACAACAGCAACAATAATGAAATCTGTATTGAAAAAATCTATAAGTGAAGATTCAACAAAGACACAATCATTATCATCGATGTATCTCAAGCAGCAACAGCAACAAAGAAATCATTTTATATCATCATTATCATTGCTGGGAATTGGTGGTGGTGGTGATCGATTTTTTCGATTTCCAAAACATTCAACAACAACTATCAATCAACAACAACAACAATTAAAAAATTCCAAACATCATCATAATAATTCAGCAATCATATTGAATTGTAACAACAACAGCAATAATTCAACAACAACAATGATGTCAATCGGTGGCAATCATCATCATCATCATCATGGTAGCAATAACAACAAAAAGAATGTTACATTTAGTGCATATGCAACTATTCAAATGGTTGAATAGTTTTCTTCTGAATAGTTTTTTTTTCTGAATTGAATTCTTTTGCTTTCATTTTGTATTAATTAGATTTTCTTTTCCCTTTTTGTATGAATAATTTATCGTTTTTTGTTTTAATAATTAAAACAAAAAAAAATTCACCTTGTAATGCCATTATCTTTGTTGCCATTTTTTTTTGAATAAAAAATAGAGAAATAAAATCATCAAATTACAAATCTTTTTTTTGTGTCTATTTTGACACACATGGTAATGTTTTTGTGTTTTTAGCTTTCGAATGTTAACATCTTTATCAATATCTCGTTTTACATTTAAAAAAAACAACATCTTGAATTTCGGTATTTTTTTTTCTTTTTCGGATATTTTGCATCCACAATTAACCAAAAAAACAAATATGCTAAACACACATCTGTTTAGCATAATTAATCAACGTTGTTCATTATTATTTTGACGTTTTGAATATCTTCAAGAATACCCAAAAAAACCCAAACAAGACAGCTACTATCGAAATAGTCGATTCGAATCTTTTAAAAAATACATTCGATGTTTGTATTTATCTTTTACATTTGTTGTTGTTTTTTAATTAAACTTTGTTTCGTGTATTGTATTAATAATAATAATAATAATAATCGACTGTTAAATAGAATCTATTTATAGATTATAAAAAAAAATATGATGGTGATGTTTATGATGGTGAAAATCATTTTCCGACGAAAATGTTAAATGTGCGTGTTTGGTCAGCAGAAAAAATCAGGTAAATACGAAAGGTGTAACAACAACAACAACAGCCGACAAATATCCGACGGCCAAAAAAATCAATCGGTCGATAAAATTATCAACAATAACAACAAAAAAACATCGACGATAATGATAATGGATGCCCAATGTGAATTCGAAATGAGCATGTTTTGATTTTTTTTTTGGCCAGAAAATTCCCATCTCGAAATACAATTTACCTGTTGCTTGTTACCTGTTACCTGTTGTATATTCGATTTCAAATTCGATAAATATTTTTCTTTGAATTGAATTGAATTTACCTGAATTAATCTATAATGAACATCTCTCTCTTTCTTTTAATGATTTTCTCTCTTTTTTTTCAGGTGTGAATATTGTATGTGTTTGGGTCACACAAAAAATATTGTTGGCGCCGGCTTGGTTAAAACCTGTAAAAAAGAAAAGAAAAACATAACCAGGTTAAACAAAGATACCCAAAAAAAAAAATTCATTCACTAACACTTACCTAGTGACCCTGTTTGCCATTTTCTATTCCTAAACAACAAAAAATCATCAAGATCATCATCAACATCGTCATAATTATTTATCATATAACATCCACTTATCTTTCATTTCTTAATCATTTTTTTTATATTTGATGATAATAATCTTCAAGTTGGATTTTGTAGGATTAGATTATGGATTCTTTTTCTTCTTTTTGGGCTTATGTTTATAGTTTTTTTGCCACATCTTTTGATGATGATTAATTTAAATGATGACCGAATATAGACAAAATAATCATCATCATCATCATAATCATAATAATAGAGTGATGATGGAGTATAGGCTTCAACGATGAAAATGAATTTCTTTTCTTCTTTGACAAATCAGGTTGAATGATCGATTGATTGATTGATTGATTGATCGATCTAGTTAATAATATGATGTTTTTCGACATTGGCGAATCAATTGAAATATAAAAACCATTATAATTATATCGCTGTTGATAAAAACACTGTGTCCAGACGTAATTAATATGATAATATTGTAAACAGCAACAAGTTTGATTAATTTTTTTTTTTTAATTTCGAATGTTTTCATGTAACAGGATATGTTTGTTAGTGTGTGTGGGACGAATATATCGATTTAATCGATTATTTTGATTCGAAATTGGATTTTTTTTCGAATTGAATTTTGTTTTGGTTTATTAACAGATTATCGAACGAATTTACCTTATCTGAGCAGCTATGGCCGAGTGGTTAAGGCGATGGACTAGAATTTTGTTCATTTGAATTGATCATCTTCAAAAGTTTAGTGATCCATTCTCCATTGGAGGCGTAGGTTCGAATCCTACTGGCTGCGCTCAAAAAATAAGGAAAAATTTTTTTTTGCTTGAAAATGACATGAAAAGATTCTATTTCGATTGCAAATGGTTCAATCGGGTAGAAACCGGTGTGAGTTTGCGCAATACATATTCGATAGCATTTTTTTATTTTATTTTTTTTAGTGGCGTGGATGTTTTTCAATTGTGTTGATTTGTATCAACAAATACAATTTTGACGTTGTCATTATCATCATCATCATAATAATCATCATCATCAGTTTGATGGTATGGCAAACAATCGATTGATTGATAATAGCTTTAATGATTTTGATGTTTTAGATTTTTCTGGTGGAATATTTTCGATTTTCAATCTGATCTGATCGTCATTATCGTTCTCATCATAACAATGGCTGAAATTTCAAAAAATGAAGCATCGACAACGGCGACAAATTCACAGCTAAAATGTAAATGTTATAAATTATATATTGAAACAATGAGTATGGAAATTGATTCAAAATTATTATATCAATTAAATAATGAACATTTACAAAAACGTCGATCGAAAATCGAATCATATCAAAATTCATTTGTTGAAATTCAATTATCATTATTAACTATTGAAAATTTCGATACTATTGATCCAATTGAAAATGATCATTCATTGCTGAAAATGTTGACAACGATTGGAAAAACATTGAATTCAATGTTAACAATGATTGATTTGGCAATTGAAAATCGTCAACAGCAGCAACAACAGCAACAAAAATTTATGGAAAACATAAATAATCATGGCTATTATTCACCATCAATTCGTCATGATATTGATCGTTTAGAATTGATCAGTCAATTTGGTGATAATGATGATTATGATGATGATTCAATGTCGATTAAAACAACCGATTGTCGTTCGGTTTATGATTTCGATGATTATCATTCTCAACATAAACAATCACATAATCTTGTTCCAAATGATCGTCATAATTTTTCAATGTCATTATCAAATCTTAAGCAATTCGGTCCGGATAAATCAATTCGACGTTTCAATAACAATGTTGATAGTCAATCAATCAATGTAATTATCATTCTAATTTCTTTTGTAATTTAATTTAAAATATTTTTTTTTATCTCAAAGGGTGTTTCCAACGATCATATTCTATCACCATCCTCATCTTCCATTTATTTAACACCTTTATCAACATTTTCATCATCATCAACTGCTCCCATCGCTAATCATAATTCGAAATTGAATCTTGAGCCAAATGTTTCTGTTTTGGGTGATGTTCAACCAGAAAAAAATGATCAAAACAAATTAACAGCAACAATAACAGCTACTGCAACGACAACAACAACAGCAACAAGTAAAACATCTCAACCATCAACGTCATCATCAACATTGTCAAAACCGAATTCAACAACAACAACAACAACGAAAAAAATGCAAAACAATCAGGATTTTATATTTACATTCAAACAGATAATCAAACAAATCGATACAATACCGACAAACAGTTCGGAAACAAAACATTTAGATTATTTAAGTGCAAAAATTCATAATCTACCTATTAATAACATGGAAAGAATGGATTTAATGGTTGATGAATTATATCGACTATTAATCGAATCAATTTATATGAATAATTTTCCATTATATTTAAAATTATTGTTTCGAATATTGAATATTTCGGTTAAACGACCTCCACAACCGCAGCAACAAAATGGACAACAGCAATCACCACAACAACAACAACAACAAAATGGACAAATCACTAAATATTCAATACGTGATTCATTGATGAAAAAATGTGATCAAATATTTTTCAATAAACAACAACAACAATCGAATAATAGCAGTTTCAAGATGGATGCAAATTATTCATTAACAATGGAAAAATTAGAATCATATGGTTGTTATTTATTTGAAACAATCGTTTCAGAAAGAAGAAATTATTTAGCCAATATACGGTTAATGTCACAATTATTTCGTAATAATTCATTTGATCAAAAACGTTTATATCCATATCTTAAATATTTAATTATCGATAATGTTGGTGTACATTTTTATCTGGAATGTTTTATTATAATGATTGTTGGCATCGGTGTTGGACCATTAAGTGGTTTATATAAACAAAAAAATTGGACAATTCGTTATGAAATTTTTAATCGTTTCTGTTTGAATAAATATCATAATTTGGATCAATCGATACGTAATGCTGCACAATTTATTTGTCAATTGGAAAAACGTTGTTGGAAATTGTAATTTTATTTAAAAAAAAAAAAAAAATCTTATCTGTGTTAATTTTATTTTCTTTTATTAACAACAATTTACTTATTTACTTACTTACTTTTTGTCTTTGATTAAAAAAATGAATTTATCATTCGATACTATTTGAAAGAATTGAAAATGTTTTAAAATAAAATTAAAATTTTTTTTTTTAAATACTTACGATTGGTGATCGAGGATCTTCATTGGTTTTCCATCCAAATGGTAACATTCTATTTCGACATTGACGGGTCGAAAGTTGATAATCTATAGATTAGATGTTAATTTGTGCTTGTTGTAAATTGTTGTTCGAAGTTGTAACTTACATGAACAAATTCCTTCGAATAATGGTCGAAATGGATTCGAACGATCCTGTGCAAATATTGCCGCATCATTACCACATAATTCTTTTGTTTTCAATCGTGAACATTCAAATATTGAACGTATATTACAACAGAATATTGGTATACGATCCCAGAATGATGATTCAATTGTATAGAAAAGGATGTCACGTGTTTTTTCCGAACATTTTCCAATTTTTTGAGCATTTCGATTCAAACATGCGGCATGATGAAATATTTCCAAACGATCTGGATGATTGATTGGTTTCGAACAAATATCGAATACTTGTTTGGTAACACTATCCAAAACCAGAATGAATGCTGAAAAAAGAAATATCAACAACAACAACAAATCAATAACAAAAATGACAAACTTACTTTCACGCAATGCTGATGACATACATCGTTGTCCAAAATCCATTAAACATTCATACATTGTTCTGGTTGTTTGACATGATCGTTTTAATTGTCGTTCATTAATCGGTATACCATATTGATTATAATAAAAATTTGTTAAACAATAATCAATTTGTTTCATATTACATGATTTTCTTCGCTGTTGTCCATTAACATTGATAATTGCTATAATGATGATTATCATTATCAAGGTAAATTTAATTATGGAAGCCATTCTTTGTTTTGTTTTTGTTTTTTTTGATTTTGACAAAAAATCTGTTTTGCAAATGAAAGAAGAAACATTCGGATATCCATAGAAGGGAGAAAAAACTTTTCCCTTATCATTAATTGATTAAGGAAAAACACTCGTCAGCCTTGATTATTCGAAAACATTTTTGCTGTACATTTTTTTTCATATAAACATTGATTATATATCGATCGATCGAACTATCAATCAATCAAATCAATCAAAAAATTTCCTTTTACCATAAAAGATTCATTCAAAATTTAAAATAGACCAAAAATAGAAAATTTATTGATTTTTGTTTTTGAAATTTAAATAATAAAAAATTTCCTAAATATAATTTTCCCATATCCTAATTTTTTTTTGTCCCCCATTTGGAATTTTTTGTGTTAAATGTGTGTCCGGGTGTGTGTGTGTGTTGGATGAATGTAATGTTTGAAGATATTTTTTAAAAGGCAATAATTTGATTAATCCACCGGGAAAATGCTGTAATTCTTGTATAAACACCCGGTTGATTTGGTAATGCACAACCAATACCCCAGCTAATAACACCGACTAATGTCCAACGTCCTTGATCTTCAATCACTAATGGTCCACCACTATCGCCCTTTTATTTAAGAAAAACAAAACAAAACAAAATCAATTCAATGTCCAATCAATAAAACCTAGAGAAACTTACTTCACAAGAATCTTTTGTTCCTTTAGCTAAACCAGCACAAACAAATATATTTGGTATATCTTCAATATAACCAGCTCTACGATACATTGATTCACAATCTTTATTGGTTATGATTGGTACATCAACATGTTGTATTACATTTGGTAATGGACCATCTATATATTTCCGAACAAGAAAAAGTTTCATTAATTTTTTGAATGAAAAAAAAAATTTCCCACTACCTTCATGAAGTCTACCCCAACCGGTTACAGTAGCCCATCTACCAACATATGTTTCATTATGTTCAGGTAAACAAATTGGTATTATATTCTTTTGAAATCGTATCGGTTCATAAAAACGTAATAATGCTAAATCATATTCAAATGTACGTGGATCAAATTTTGGATGTGGTGCTATTATCTGTATACGACGTTCAATATGTGAATATGGTTCAGTATCGGTACTAATATCAAATTCACCTAAACGTAATAATAAATCGGTTGGTGATACACTAAAATGATAATCGATGATAATCGATAATTAGTTTTTGAAAAAATTTTTCTTTCATTTTCAAAACTTACTTTTCAACACAATGTGCGGCTGTTATAACCCAATATTCATTTAATAATGCTGCACCACATTTATGTAAAAATGCATTCTTTTTCCATTGTCGTAATGATACCATCCATGGCCATTCACCATATCCGGATTGTGTACCACCAACAATTCTACCTTTTGGTGATATTTGTCTTCGTCCGCAAACTAATTTTTTTGCAATTTTTTTTTGATTATTATTAATTATCAATGGGAAAAAACTACAAACATACCGAATGGTAACATTTCACTTGAAGACATTGGACGTTTTGTTGTTGTTGACGATGTCGATGGCATCGATGTTGTCGATATAGTCGAACTAATCCATTCGGTTGTTAATTTGGTTATTATATTATTCGGTGGTAATCTATTCGTTGTTGTATTGATTAAAGGAGCAATCGTTATAAATGATCCATTTCCTGGTATTGGTCGATGATATTCATCACCATTATTATTTATTATTGTTGGTGGTGGTTTTTGACTACTAATTGATGGTTTAGTTTTATTATTAACCGACCAAGTTGATATAGTCGTCATAATTGGTATTCTTGATGTTGTTGTTGTTGTTGCTGATGATGATGTGGGTGGTGATATCGTCGTCGAAGTTGTACTTGAAGTAGATGATGATAATGGTAATGGGGTTGTCAAAGTTGAAACTACAGTACTGATTGGCGTCTGTGTTATTGTCATATTGGAACCACTCGGAAAAGGTGTAGTGTTATTGTTGTTGATGATAATGGATGTTGGCGAAGATACCGATGTTGCAGCAGTTGTTGTTGTTGTCAGCATTGAAGTTGAATTTTGTTCAGTAATATTTGGCTGTGCAATAATTGTTGTTGCTGTAAGTATCCATCCATCTTCCATTACCGATCCAGGTGCAGCAGATACAACATTACTACTTTCGGTAACATTGTTGTTATCTGTGGATATCGTTGATGATGAAATAAACGTTGCCACTGTTGTTGGTTTTTCAATTTTTTCTTCATTCATTATCGAGGTTGTTGTTGTTGTTGTTGTTTCAGCTAAAGTTGTTGTAATCAATTCATCAATAGAAACTTGTTCTGATTCCGGTTGTAATTCATCGATCAATGTTGACATAGTTGTTGTTGTTGTTTCCGAAATAAAATCATTCGTTGATGGTATTATTGTCACTTGATCATCCAATGATTGTTCTTCTTTCATTACAGTTGTTTCATCGTTCATATCCAATGGTATCGATGTTGTCATTGATGTAGCAACAATTTCATCAATAGTCGATGGTAATTGTTGTTGTTGTTGTGGTGGTGGTGTTTCCTGCTCCGGTAATGTCCATATATCGGAAATGTTCTAGGGAAAAAAACAAAATTTTTCGATAAAATCGAAATTCCCGAAAAATCAAACGTAAACAAACCGTATTTTCTAAATCGATCCAAACATCAATCGGATGTGGACGTAGTTTCGATGATGATGGTGTTATTGATTCGATTTTTGTTAAATTTGTTGCTGCTGCTGTCGATATAGAATTTGTAGTAGTCGATTCGGGTTGATGATGTTCGATTTGGGGACGACTAGTTTCGATTGGAATATTCTGTGTAGTCGATGTTTTTAATGTTGATGTCAGCGTTGGTAAAGCAGTGGTCGATCGAGTTGATGATTCTTGTTCGGTTGATGGATTTACCATCATTTCGGAATCATTTTGTACAGATTTTAAAGTTGTGCTACTTGATGAAACAAGTGGTGCAATAGTCGTGGTGGTGGTCGAAGTTGATAATGGTGATGATGATTCTTCACGATTCAAAGCCGCTAAAGTTGTGGATAATGGTGGTGGTAACGTTGTTGTTGTAGTCGTCGATGAAGATATTGCCATTGTTGTTGGAGATTCTGTCGATGATAATGTTGTTATCGATACTGATCTATTATCAGATGATTGTTCAATAGCCGCTATATTTGGTTTAAATACGGTAAGATTTCTTGTAACTTGCTGTTGCTGATCTGGTTGAATTTGATGATTATCTTCGATAATCTGAATAAATTCATTTGGATCTGAATTATGTTCAATAATCGATGATTGAACTATCGATGTTGATGGTGGTTGTTGTTGTTGTTCATCATCAAGATCTAATTGACCATTATTATTCGGTACAAAATGTGATGTAACCACTGTTGTTTTATTTGAATTTTTACCATTATAAATATTGCTATGATAATCCGATTCGGTTGATGGTCTGGATGTTGTCGTTGTGGTAGAGAATTTTTTCGTTGTTGTTGTTGGTCTAGGGGTTGTTGTTGTTGTTGTCGTCGACGTTGTTGTTGTTGTTATTGTCGGCGTCGAACTACTCATCATTATTTCCGGTTCCATTGTTGGTAAACGTAAATTTTCCGGTAATTTACAACAAGTACCAACCAAATATGAATTAAAACAATAACCGATTGGTTCACCATTTAATTGTAAACATTCATATTGAAACATACAAACACCACCAAACATTGACATTTGTCCATCATGTTGTTGTTGTTGTTGATTATAATCATTATGATTATGATGATTATTGTTACCATTGTGGTTAGATGAAATACGACGTCCACTACATGGTTTTGGTGGTTTAGCTGCACGATATTTTTCGGCCAACATTTCATCTAAACGATTGGAAAAAAAAATGGGAAGAAGCAAGAATTTCGGGGAAAAAAAAAATCAAATTTCATTCAAAAATCCTGAATTTTTTGGTTTACCTTGCCGCAATAATGTAGCCAATAAATCGATTGGAATATTATTATGATTGATCACATCGAATGGATTTTTTGATGACGAAGATGATGATTTTAATGAATTTGTTGCCAATGATGACGATGATGATGATGATGATCGAAGCTCGCTTATAATTGATTCATCGGTTGATTCCAAATTCTGTTGTTGCTGTTGATGATGATATGCCATTAATTTATTCAACATTGTTGCACCTGGTTTATGATTATTAACTAGAACAACTCTAGCCATAACTATTGTTGATTTCGATATCGATGTTGATAATGATGATAATGAATAAATGGCCAATATAAATAGAAAACTATTTAAACAGAATAGTGCCAAAAAGGTTTTAATATCCTTTTTAAAATTTATTGATGAATTCGATGATGATGATGATAATGATGAATTATACAAATGTTTTGCTGTTGATGGTGATGATAATAAAGATGACTTTAATGTTGTTGATGATAATTTTTGATCACATTCTTGATGATTATGATGATTATGATGATTATGATGATGACGACGATGCAAAAATGACTTTGATGATGATGATGATGATGATTTAGAATCACTAATTTGTTGATAATGATGATCATTTAATGAAATTATTGTTTCAATAATATCATCATCATCTTCATCACAATTACTACCACCATCATTATTATCATCGTCATCGTTGACAATATCCATGTCCGGACGGATATGGATATTGTTTTGATTATCAACAACAATAATATTGATGGTCATGGCTTCAAGATGTTTGATATTCGTTCCGTTTGAAGAACAGAGAAAAAATTCAAAAAAAAAACGACGATGAAAACGATGACGATGATGATCAAATTGATCGAATGATTCGATATTTCGATTCGTTTATTCTATGATGATGATAAACTTTAAAAACGTAACGGTTCAGTCCAGTCAGTTACCATACTATCATCATCATTATTATCATCAAGGAAAAACAACGGTCGACGACTTTATCATCATCATCATCGTTCACCATTATCACACAAACACACACATCACAAAGATGAAAATGTTGTTGTTGTTGTTCAAAGACCCCATCTTATATTCTTGTTTTTTTTCTCGTCTTCTTCTTGTCAAATCTCAATGATAATAATCGTGTTTATGGGATGAACAAAATCTTCATCTTCGTCGGTTGTCTTCATCAGTTGTCTTCTCTTTTAGAAATAGATAAATAATCACCGTTTCTTTCATTTAGTGGGTACTGACCTTCAACCAATCAACCAACCGTCAGCGGTTTTCCAAAAAAACAGGTGTGTGTGGTTCTCAAGATTTTCTTTTATTTAAAAAAAAAATCAAAGTAGAGTTGTTGAAGTTTTTCAATGTTTGTTTGATTGACACACACACACACACACACACACACTACTTGACCGATAATGACCGCAAAAAAAGACAAGATTCCGATATAAAACAACAAACAAACAAAAACGATTTTGCAGAATTCATTTGATGAATTTTCGTTTTTTTGATGATGATGATAATCAATTTTCATTTGTTTATTGTTTCAATCCAATCCAATCTAATTCCAATTCTAAATCGATTCATTTCTGGTTTTGTTTTGTTCTGTTGTTTTCACGCCATTCATTCATTCATTGATCAAACATTTGTTGATGATTGGCGAAGAAGAAAAGGTCAAAATACTCTTGAAATATTTCATTCACATTCGTCGTCTGTTTTATTTTTATTCATTTTTTTGTTTTTTTCATCAAGAATAAAGAAAGAAGAGAGAGAAAAGAAGAAGAAAAAAAAAGGAAATTATCAACATCGAATAAGAACAGAATAGACTGTCGACTATTTTGAGTGATAGAAGAACTGGTTGGCCAAGTAAGGTTGATTTTGAATTCGAATGTTTTTTTCGTTTCGAATGATAATGATGATAGGTTTATGTCAAATGATGGTCAATGGTCNAGAAAACTATTTAAACAGAATAGTGCCAAAAAGGTTTTAATATCCTTTTTAAAATTTATTGATGAATTCGATGATGATGATGATAATGATGAATTATACAAATGTTTTGCTGTTGATGGTGATGATAATAAAGATGACTTTAATGTTGATGATGATGATGATGTGGATGATGATAATTTTTGATCACATTCTTGATGATTATTATGATGATGATAATGACGACGATGCAAAAATGACTTTGATGATGATGATAATGATGATTTAGAATCACTAATTTGTTGTTGTTGTTGATAATAATGATGATCATTAAATGAAATTATTGTTTCAATAATATCATCATCATCTTCATCACAATTACCACCATTATTATCATCACCATTATCGTCGTTATCGTTAACAATATCCATATCGGACCGGATATGGATATTGTTTTGATTATCGACAACAATATTGATGGTCATGGCTTCGAGATGTTTGATGCTCGAGAAGAAAAAATCAAAATCAAAAATGAAAACGATGACGATGATAATGATGATCGAATGATTCGATATTTCGATGATTCAATAATGAAGAACTTTAAAAACGTAACGGTTCAGTCCAGTCAGTTACCATACTACCATCATTATTATCATTGAGGAAAAAAACGGTCGACGACTTTATCATCGTTCACACACATCACACAAAGATGAAAATGTTGTTGTTCAAAGACCCCATCTTATATTCTTGTTTTTTTTTCGTCGTCTTCTTCTTCTTGTCAAATATCAAATGAATAATAATCGTGTTTATGGGATGAACAAAATCTTCATCTTAGTCTTCGACGGTTGTCTTCTCTTTTTTTTCATTATCCATCTGACAAAAGAAAAAAATAGATAAATAATCACCGTTTCTTTTTTTTAGTGGGTACTGACCTTCAACCAATCAACCAACGAAGTCAGTGGTTTTCCAAAACAGGTGTGTGAAAAAAAATCAAAGTAGAGTTGTTGAAGTCACTCAATCTGTTTGTTTGTTTGTTTGTTTGCTTGACACACTACTTGACCGATAATGACCGCAAAAAATGATTTTCGAATTTTGCAGAATCCATCTGTTATTGTTTCAATCCAATCTAATAATTCCAATTCTAAATCGATTCATTTCTGGTTTTGTTCTGATTTTTTCACGCCATTCATTCATGCCATTTATTTATTCATTGATCAAACATCGTCGATGTTGATGATGGCGAAGAAGAAAAGGTCAAAATACTCTTGAAAACTATTTCTCATTCACATTCGTCGTCTGTTTTATTTTTATTCATTTTTTTTTTGTTTTTTCTTTTCCTTTTTCATCAAGAATAAAAAAAGGAGAGAGAGAGAAAAAGGTGAAAAAAAAGGAAATTATCAACAACATCGAATAAGAACAGAATAGACTGTCGACTATTTTGAGTGATAGAAGAACTGGTTGTGGCCAAGTAAGGTTGATTTTGAATTCGAATGTTTTTTTTCGTTTCGAATGATAATGATGATAGGTTTATGTCAAATGATGGTCAATGGTCATCAACATTATTATCATCAAACTAAAATCTTAACTGGATTCGGATGAATTTTTTTTTTATTTTAATTTTCAATTCCGCATTCCCGCTGTTTGTGGTTGAAGTGTGTGTATATGAGAACAGGTAAGTATGATGTGATGTGAAATTCGGGTTTTTTTTTGTTTATTGATGATGTTCAGACAAGTCAAGGAGACAAAACAATAAATGACCATTATCAATGCTAATGATAATTTGATGGTGATAAAAAAAAACGATGGACAATGATCAACAGAAAAAAAATCCTTTTTGGATTAATTGGATTTTTCATTTCATTGAAGGTTTGCTTGGAAAAAAATCAATCAATCAATCGAATGGATAAAGAAAAGATACTAACATTTAACACTTTGTGTGTCTGTCTGTGTATGACCCTGTCCAGTTGTTTGACCATATTTATTTTCTTTTTTTACCTTCAGGCCTGGATTTTAATTTTAAATCCATCAAAAAAAAAACAAATTTTGGAAAATTTAAATTTGTTTTTTTCTTCTTGATCAAACAAACAACAACAACAATCATCAATCAGTCAAATTTTTATTATTATTAAATGTTTTAGACCCAATGTCAATTGTTGTTGTTGTTGTTGTTATTATATCACTTTTTCATCTATTGGATTAACAATAACAATATTGAATCACAATCGATCGTGACATGATATTGAGATGTTTGAAAACATCCAAAAATTTTGATCTATAATCAATCATCATCACATCAATTTTTAGTTTTCAAAGTTGATAAAATATCTTTCAAGTCTTTTATGTCAAGGTTATTGTTTTTAAATTAAATTTTCGCCGTTTTTTTGACAATGACCAAATACCATTCATTGTGATTCATTCATATCCGTGGTAATATAAAGAAAAACATTCCAATATAGGTGATGAAAAGCTAGATTTTTCGGTATTGGAAAAAAATAATAATAATGAAAATCAAATCAAAGAAAATCAAAAACATACATACATCAAATATAAATTTATTGGTAATCGATCCCAACAATGATATACGTGGACCATATTTCTGTCCACGTGTTAAACGATCATAAAGATTATTTAATTTTAATTTCAATAATAATGATGATGATGATGATTTTATATGAGTATTATGATGATAAAATGGTAAAACTTGATGATGATTATTAATTGATTGTATAATCGTAGGAAGATATTTTCCCGTTTGATGCATTGATTTTGTTTGTTTTGCCAAATCGATAAATGATAATAATGTTGTTATAGCATGAAATAATAGAATAAGATTAACATTTAATTGATCCAACCAAGTCAGATGATTTAACCAATATGCTGACAGGCCAATTGAATCAAATGGTACACTTAAAATTAGATAACAAAGTAATGGTGGACCCCATAATTCATTATATGAATATTGATAATCCAAACAAATTTGACAATGTTCACGATATAAACAAAATAATTGTCGATTTGAAACAATTGATTTTCTTATCAATAATTTTCGGCCATTATGTAATTGTTGTTGACAAAATTGAGAAATTTTATTCAATAAACGATTAATACGTGTTATTAAACTATAGTTTAATAATGTACAACCAATTGATAATACGGCAAAAAATAATGTTAATTGTAATATAATTAGAATATTATAAATCAACATTATTGAATCGAATGCAAATAATGTTCGAATGATTATGATCATTCGATCATTTTCATCGTACGAATACATCGATACTATCGTTGTATAATAATCGATTATTATCAATAAACAAGGTGGTACTATTGAAATTTGTAAAATTTTGTAATTTTTTTTTTGTAAATTTTTTCTAAAAATAAACTTACTCAACAATAAATGTATGATGAATATAATCGGATCGATTATGTGTAAAAATCTAATAATTTTAAACCGATCATCCAAAGTTATTGTTTGTGGAATATCAATACGGCCGATTTTTGACCATTTCATCGGATCCAATTCAATCGAATGTTTTTGTTTCCAAATCGAATATTTTGTCAATATTATACAGAGAAATTTTCGGAAAAATAATGGAAAAATTTTTTTCTGTTGCAATTTTCGTAAATTTTTTTCCCAAATATTTCGTTTAATCGATTGAATTTCAACCAATGGTCGTCGTGATTGTTCATAATCATCCAAATTTATAATCAAATATTTATATGGCCAATCAATAGCTGTAGATTCTATTCGACAGAAAAAAAATAACCATTTACCAAGTATACCAATTAATATTATCATTATTGTAAACATTATTGAATGAAGAAAAAAATTTTCATTCGATTTCAAACGATAATAACAGAATGGATCCAGTCGGCAATATTTACCACCATCACTGGAGACATTATCGTCGTCGTCGTCGTTGAAAAGAATATTCTTTTTGCTTGCAATTGCCAACAACATTCGAAATATCCATATCGATAGTGATAGAATTTCACTCGAATGTTTTAAACGATACCATCGATTATATCGATTGTTTACAATTTCTTTAAATTGATAATAAAAAAATTTATCAATTTTTAATAACATTTTGCTGGAATTTTTCTTCTTTTCGACAGAAATTGTTTGTGATGCTGCTATCTTGAATCTCAAATTCAATTTGTCGAGAAGATTCGCGAATTGGGGCAAAGAAGAAACCCAACAAAAAACGAGTTGAGAAATATTTCGGGTAATGTTATTTTTAAATGTATCTTTTTTTTCCATTAAGAAATAAATTCTTGACATTTTTTTTAAGAATCAATTTTTGGTTGATTAAAGAATCATTTTTATTTTTTGGTTGTCTGGAAAAAAAACTTTCCAAAATTGTACACAATTTTAAAAATAATCTTTATTTTTAATCGAATCTTTTCGTGACTTTCATAATCTGTAAAAAAAATCATTCGAAGAAAACAAAAATTCCCGGAAAAATTCCAATAGCCAACGAGTAGATGGCGCTATATTTACCGGAAATTTTCTTGATTTCTTGTTGTTGTTGCTCACGCACATTGTTTTTGTTTTTTATTCTTGACAAAAATTTTTTTTTCTTCAAAGAAAATTATTCTTAAAATTATCATCATCATCATCATTTGGAAATTGTCAGCATCGATTAAAGAAAAACGCATCTCATTTATCTGTTTGTGCGTGTTGTCAGTGTTTGTTTGTCAAAAACGATAAATTTCTCTTTCATTTTCTCAAAATTTTGTTGTCAGTTTCGTTCTCTCTCTCCTTTTTCTTTCATCATTGTCGTCATCAAAACAAACAACCACTGTTGATCATTTTAGTTGAATGAATGAATGGATGATGATGATAGTTTTTACGTTCATGCACGTACCTGTTCATTTCTGTTTTTTGTTTAGCAAAAAAAAAACAAGACAACGAAATAGCCAACTAAATTTATATAAATTGAGGAGAATGATCGTCACAAAACATGATCAATCAATTTGATTTCATTAAAACACTGTGTTTGGTTGTTTTGTTTTGTTTTGAACTAAAAAAAAAAATCAAATCGATTCTAAATTTAGTTGTTTGTTCACAGCGTGTATCGTGTGTCGTGTATCGTATGTCAACTGTCAAATATTCTGACCGCCCAAATCAATCGATATCGAATTGATATGGTTAAATCATTAGATCATTTTGTTTCAATTTAATTCTAGCAGCTAACTAAATCAACCAAAAAAATCAAATCAAATCAGCAAATATTTGATCAACAAACAAAAAAAAAAGGTAAGATGCTGTGACATTCGAATCTTCAAAACGTTCGAATCTTTTTTTCATGTCATGTATGTACAACCCCCTGATGATAATGTTTAAATAGCCTATATTTTTTTAGGTCATTTTTTTAAACAAACAAAAAAACTAAATCAAATCAATAACTTGATAGGGGGGCAGCCAAAAAAAAAAAAAATATTAATTACTTAAAAAAGATGTTTTCTGGGCATCCATTTCAGAAAACAAAACAAAAAAAAAAAAAAAAAAAATCCAAAAAAAAAATATCGGAAGCGGCATCATTATCATCATCCTTGTCCACAAATGCCGTAAAAAGACTTTTAAATTGTCCAATTTTTTTCATCATTCATTCTTCGTTGTTGTTTTTGACTGATAACAAATGAATGGATGATAAAAAAACAAACAAAACACACACACACACACTTTGGCGATTTCGGGAAGCCTAAAAGCCATTTTAACTCGTTTTGTTTTGTTGTTTTGCTGTTTGTTTCGTTGTTTCGTTGTTCTATTATTAAATCATTGTCAACAAAGTTTTTCGTTTTCGTTTTGTCTGTTTTTTGATGTAATAATAATGATGATGATGATTAGAAAAACATCCGGTTTGTTTGTTATGTTTTCATTTTCTTAGGAAAAATGAAACATTTTTTTCATATTTCAAATCATGATGATGATAATTTCATTTTTGAATGACCCATTCAAAAATTTTTCCTTTACATGTATAATTATGTGCGTACAAGAAGATAAGAACATCCACCATGCATCGAATCCTTTTTGTTTAGGATGTGTAACGGAATTTGTGAAATGTTTTTTATTTTCATGTGAATATTTTTTTCGATGTGAATTTCTTGATTTTTCGGGTTTATTTTTGACTTATTTTTGAATCAAAATTATAATTCAGATTTGAAGCCGAAACACGAAACATCTGAATTTTGAAGAAAAAAAATTGAAAAGTAAAATCAACATCGACAACCGAAATCCTATATAATTATTATTCAGTTTTTACAATTGACAATTTAATAATAATCATTTGTTATTTCAATAATCAATCAATTTTTTNATGGATGATGATAGTTTTTACGTTCATGCACGTACCTGTTCATTTCTGTTTTTTGTTTAGCAAAAAAAAAACAAGACAACGAAATAGCCAACTAAATTTATATAAATTGAGGAAAATGATCGTCACAAAACATGATCAATCAATTTGATTTCATTTTAACACTGTTTGTTTGTTTGTTTTGTTTTGTTTTGAACTAAAAAAAAAATCAAATCGATTCTAAATTTAGTTGTTTGTTCACATTAACAGCGTGTATCGTGTGTGTTTATCGTATGTCAACTGTCAAATATTCTGACCGCCCAATATTCGATCGATATCAAATTGATATGGTTAAATCATTAGATCATTTTGTTTCAATTTAATTCTAGCAACAAACTAAATCAAATCAACCAAAAAAAATCAAATCAAATCAGCAAATATTTGATCAACAAACAAAAAAAAGGTAAGATGCTGTGACATTCGAATCTTCGAACGTTATTTGAAACGTTCGAATCTTCAAAACATTCGAATCTTCAAAACATTCGAATCTTCAAAACATTCGAATTCAAAACGTTCGAATCTTTTTTTCATGTCGTGTATGAACAACCCCCTGATGATGATAATGTTTAAATAGCCTATATTTTTTTAGGTCATTTTTTCAAAAACTAAAACTAAATCAAATCAATAACTTGATAGGGGGGCAGCCAAAAAAAAACATTAATTACGTAAAAAAAGATGTTTTCTGGGCATCCATTTCAGAAAACAAAACCAAATAAAAAATATCGGAAGCGGCATCATTATCATCATCCTTGTCCAAAAATGCCGTAAAAAGGTTTTTTTAAATTGTCCAATTTTTTTCATTCATTCATTCTTCGTTGTTGTTTTTGACTGATAACAAATGAATGGATGATAAAAAAACAAACAAAACAAAACACACACACTTTGGCGATTTCGGGAAGCCTAAAAGCCATTTTAACTCGTTTTTTGTTTTGCTGATTGTTGTTTCGTTGTTTTTCGTTGTTCTATTATTAAATCATTGTCAACAAAGTTTTTCGTTTTGTCTGTTTTTTTTGATGTAATAATGATGATGATGATGATTAGAAAAACATCCGGTTTGTTTGTTATGTTTCCCTTTTCTTAGGAAAAATGAAACATTTTTTTTCATATTTCAAATTATGATGATGATAATTTCATTTTTGAATGACCCATTCATTCGGTAAAAAAATTTTTCCATTGCTTGCATTATGTATAATATATTATGTGCGTACAAGAAGATAAGAACATCCACCAAACAATTTTTTATGTTTAGGAGATGTGTAACGGAATTTGTGAAATGTTGTTTTTTCATGTGAATACTTTTTTTTCGATGTGAATTTCTTGATTTTTCGGGTTTATTTTTGACTTTTTTGAATCAAAATTATAATTCAGATTTGAAGCCGAAACACGAAACATCTGAATTTTGAAGAAAAAAAATTGAAAAGTAAAATCAACATCGACAACCGAAATCCTATATAATTATTATTCAGTTTTTACAATTGACAATTTAATAATAATAATCATTTGGTTTGTTATTTCAATAATCAATCAATTTTTTTTATTGCTGAAAAACAAAAGATTGCCAAAAAAATTTACAAATTGTCATTAATCATTTGATCACAAATTTATCATTATCCAATGAAAAAAGTCAATTATCGTCGAAGAAGAAGAAGAATTGATGTCTTTTGAGGTACTTTTTGTTTTCTTCAGTTGGCAATATGGTGATAAAACATCGTAACAACAAAAAAACATCCCTTATGTCATTCATATACAGAAAGGGAAAAACCCTTGAAAATTTCAATATTGATAGTTTTTTTTTGTTTCTGATTTCAAACATTGGATCAAATCAAATCATAATCATAATCATAATCGATCAATCATTATCATAATCATGATGTTCCAAATAATTTCTTAATTTGATTAAACTTTTTGTTTTCCCTCTCATTTCATTATCAACGAACAACAGAAAAAAAAACATTCACACAGACAACAGAATGTACATTTTCTTATTTGACCTTCAAATTATCTTGAAAAATGATCATCCATATGAATGAATAACAAGGAGAGGAACAACAAGTTGAGAAAATTTATTTATTTTGATGAACTTTAAGAGATAATTTTTGTTTGAAAAAAAAGATGCGAAAGTTTTATTTTGCTTCCCAAAGTCACGAATTTTTGTTTTTCTGGCTTATCTCTTGGCTTATCGTCGAAATGTTGTTTATTAATCGATGAGGCTATATCGACCCATTTGTGACACACCTTATGTGATTCGGTTAAAATAGAAACAAAAACCGATTGTCAAATTTTGAACGCAAAAAAAACGAAAACAACCAAAGATGTGTCAAGAAAGTTTTAAAAAACAAAAAATTTCCCCGCAACTTTCTCAGCAAAAAACAAAGCAAAATAATTATTTTGTAAAAGACGTTTGCATCACTCATTGTGTAACTCTGTGTTAATTTTTCCAGCAAAAAAAATGGCTCAATTTTTTTTCAAAAAAATTCAAAAATTTGTAAAAGTTGAAACAAAAAATCCATTGTAAAGATGATTATGATAATGATAGTCACAATGCGTAATACCAGTTGTCTTGTCATTCAGAAATCATGTCAAAAAATTAAGAACAAAAAAACATTGATAAAAATTTACTTTGTTTCATCATCAATGTTTTCTTTTGTTTTTCTCTAAAATGTTTATCACTTTTGTGTGAAAATTCTGATGTGAATTTCTCATCAGTTTTTTCTGTTTCTGATCTGCCCAATAATTATCATAATCATCCTTCAATCATTAAATGGTTAATTAAACCATCATTGTCATTTTTTTTCAAAAAAATGCGTTTCATCAATGGATGTCCATTGTTTGAAATGATGATCCTTTTTAGATGATGATAATGGCGGTGGACAAATTCAGTTCCAAAAACAACAACAAAAAATTGATCCAGGTGGTGAATGGCTGAAAAAATCATTGATCCAAAGAATTATTCTGTTGCCTGGTTTGTTGGTTGTTGCTATCGGTTACATTTAGCCGAAATAGATGCTCACAATGAGAGAAAGAGAGAGAGGGGAAGATTGATTACATCTTTGCATCCAGGTAGGTCGTCGGTAGATTTTTTTGTGTAATTTTTATTGATTTTAAAAGCAGCAGCAGCTGCTTGCTAAATTTAAATTTGAATATTTTTTTTCTCTGTATACAATTTCAGGTTATTTTTTTTTATCGACCAACGTTTCTTCTCTGACATTTTCAAATTCACACTTTTGATGATGATGATGAAATTGATTATTGATTGATTGAATGAATTTCATCGCATGATTCGAAAAAAATAGCAATTTTGGCCATGAAAATCCAAAATTTTTTTTCTCCTTTCACTCGAAAATTAATCAATCAATCAATTTATTGATTGAATTTCATTGCAATTTTTCATTTCAATTTATTATCACGATTCATTTTTCATTTGATCTTGAATGGTCATCATCAAAAGGGAAAATCGTTGATGTTCGTTGTTCGTTGTTCATCAACGATCAACCCCATCCTTTTTTCATCTTTAGCCATCTCATAAAATGGTTGTTAGCCAAACTTGAAGTAGACATTTGTCATTGATTTTTCTTCATCAATTTTATGCATGACCAACAACAGAAAAAAAAACAAATGAAAATTTTTAAACATCTTTTTTTTTAAAAAAAACTTAATGAAAAAATTTACACGCGCCAGGTGTGTGTGTTTGTGGTGTTTGCCAGGAAATCATGTTTCGTTTGTTCAATTTACCTGCCTATTTATTTTGTTGTTCTTTTGTTTTTGTTCATTGAAAAAGCTTTGAAAAAATTAATTTTTTCAAATTTGTAAAAATAATCATGATTGTTTTTTTCCAGGCAGGTAAGACATTTGATTGATTCATTAATTAATTAATTAAGCAATTTTCGAAAGGAGAGAGAGATGTGAAAATGGCATTTGGTTCTGTCCTATTCTGTGTATATGTGCGTGGGTGGTGTGATTTTTTTGTTTGTTTGTTTTGTTTGCTTTGTTTTAATTCGCTTTCGAACCAAGGATAAATGTTTCACCATCATCATCATTATCGATATTCACACTTTCAAAATTAATTTCGAGATAAAAATGGGGGGAAAAAAATCAAGGATTTTTGATATCGATATACAGGGTGATTTGATGTTTATAAAAGAAAAATTGTCATCGACAATAATGATGATGATGACAATGTAGAAAAATTGTGACAATCAAACAGTGAGAGTGATCGAGGTACCATCATTGAACTAAAAACAAAACAAAACATTTGAACCATATCGGCCATGCTTTTCTCATTTTCATTTTCATTTTCGACTTCCGAAAAATCATGAAAATTCACGAAATATGAACATCAACAACAACATTCTGTCGAGTCATTCATAAATTCACAGCAGAAAAAGTTTTACCTGGCTATTTTCATTTTCCCAAAAAGTTATTTTCTGTTGTTATTGTTGTTACTATGACGATGACCTTTCACCTTTTTTTGTTGTTTTGCTTTTTGATTGTCATCTTTTTTCAGTGAAAAAAACAAATTATTTCATAAGGTCGACATTGGGTGACACCACCACCTTTCTAACTTTCTTCATACCTACCTACCTCATCATCATCATCATCATTTTTCAATTCTCAGGTAATCACATCCATTGCTCAATTTTTGTCTTGCTCACATTCAGCAAACATCCTCACCTGCAAATCTCATTCAAAATTTGCTCTCGTTTTCGGTTGTTTTGTTATTTGTTTGTTTGTGTGTGTGTGTCGCACATTTCAATTTCATTTTTGAGAAAAATTTCATCATTTTTTTTGTTTGATCTATTGATAGATTTGAAAGAGAAAAACACTGTTTTTTTTGGTTGGTTTATGCACAGTGAAAAGTCAACTGTATCGAAAAATTTTACTGATTTTTTAATTTTTTTCGTCAATCGAACGACAAACGGATTCAAGGCAAACCACCTTTAACTTATTCACTGAATTTCTCAAAACTCTCTCTTTTTCTGTATTGCAGTATTGATTTTGGTCGTTCGAAAACGATTCCATTGGTTTGGTTTTTCTGCAATTTTTTTTTTTGTTGACAGTTTCGCTTAGCCAGCATAAGTGAATGGACTTTTGTTTTGTTTTGTTTTTTTTTCGAAAATAATTACTATTCATCATTGAAAAAAAAACTATAACGGCTGGTTCCAAATGGAACCATCATATTTATTTATTTTTGATGTTTTTTTCCGTTGTTGAACTAATTATTATCATCATCGTCGATGGTTAATTCTGCCCATTTTATCTATGTAGAAAAAAAACTCCCCATAAATTATTTTTTGTTGATCCATTTTGGAACCTTGTTTTTTGGTAATAACACTCAGTGTTAATGTGAGAGAGGTTAATTTCTCTTTCACTGTGTATTCAACAGCAGCAGCAGCAGCAAAATATGAACTTGATTCACATTTAATCATTTATTTTTTCCTCATTTTTTTTCGTTATTAACATATAGAAAAATCAAATGGTGAAATCAACCATGCAGAAGCCAAATAAACAGTAGCAGCAACAGCAAAAAACCGTTTTCATTTTTTCATTGATTTGTTTGCCGGTTTTGATAAATCCACTGCATACCTGTGTGTGTTTTGGATTGATGTTTTTTTTGTTTTGTTTTACCTGGTGAAACGAATTCAATGATAATTGTTGTGGAACGAAACAATCATCATCCTTCCTAATTATCAATTTGATTGATTGATTGATTGATTCTAATCACGCAATCGCTGAACATCAACAACAAGATGCAAACATCGACATCATTTGATGGATCAAAATTTCCGTTAACATTTTCAACAACTTTTGTTAATGCTGGTGTTCCTGGTCCATCATCATCATCTCGTGGTTCTAATACCACTACTACTACTAATTCTTCAATGGCTGGTACATCAAAATCATCAAATTTTATCCGTGATAATATCGGTGGTAGTGGTGGTGGTATTATAAATCCAATTTTTATCGATCCATTAGTTCAGATTGATGAATTTGAACAAAATGATTGTGAACGTGAATTGGAAACATTTCCAACACCGCCACCACCACCGCCAAATTTATTACCATCATCATCATCGTCAACATCATTTAATCAACCAAAAACATCGACATCGACGACAAAACCGGAAACAATTGATCGAACTGATTCAGCATCCAATTTATCCGGATCAACTGTGATTACAAACGCTAGTTCTACGGGTGGTTTATTATCAAATTCGATACGATCATCATCAAATAATCATAATCATCATAATCATCATCATAGACGTAGTCATTCACAGCAACAATTTAGTAACAGTTTTCATATTGATTGTCCGGATTGTCAACAATTTCATCATAATCATCATCGTATCTATGTTCAACATCATAATAATCATAAACGTCCAGTTTATTTACCAATTACACCAATAACATCATCATCACATCATCATTCTAATCATAATCATCCATTATCATCAAATATTGGTGATGGTTATGCACCATATCCACCACAATGGTATTATCTATTAGCTGCTGATACAAAAAAATTTCGTAAACATCGTCATACACATTATCGTCGTGATTGTCGTCAATGTAGAGAAATTGTACGTTCAACATTTGAACAATATTATCTTCGTGCTGGTCAACCGCCATCAACAACAATGGGTCAAATATCATCACGTTATCAACCGCAACAACAAAGATCAATAGATATGATGATGACCGATGAAAATAGTTCACCCGATTCTATTGGATCAATATCATTAGATTATCATCAGCAACCCTATTCATCATCATCACAACCAACTTTTTTGACTTCTAGTCCTACACCATCATCATTAGGTTTTTATAGCCGGTATGTTTTGTTTGATGATCATTGATTGATTGATTGATTGATTTTTGTTTCATTTAAATCATTAGATCAAGAGCTAGTTGTGGTCATTCATGTTTAAAATTTACCATACTATTTTATTGTTGTATTGCTGTCATTATGGCCATATGTTTTATCTGTTATCTGACAAAAATGTTTGGTCTAATGGCACCAACAACAACAACATCAAATTTTATCCAATATTATCCTTCATCAACAAATTATTCAATTATTAATGATGATAATTTCAATTCATCAAATGAATCAATATTAATGGATAATAATTCATCATTAATGATAATGGATACTGTGGATCCTGAATTACCGGCAACAACATTGTTGGAAACAATTCGTACCGAAATGATTGGCCTAATAATTGCATCAGCATTTATGATTATATTTATTCTTGGTTTAATCGGTGCATTTCTTGAATCAATACTTTGTCTACGAATTTTCGGTGCCATTCTTTCCTATCTATTTTTATTAACATTTGGTTCAGCATTATATATTGTCATTTTATTGATCATATCACATGTACCATTGAAATTGATTTTATCAACTATTTCCTGTGCAGCAGTTGCTGTTACTATTCATGGTTTACTAGCTATAGCACCGTTTGCATTTGCCGATTTAATTAGTGAAGTAAGATTTTTTTTTTTGAATGTGATTCATTCCATTTTATTATTTACCATTTTTTGAATTTAGGAACGTAATGAAAAATTAACTGAAGCTGCCGCTACAGTTATGGCAGCCAATTCAACTTATTTTAAATATCCATCCGTACGATTCTTTTCACAGATGCCAATTCATTCATCAAATATTCATCATCATCATTCAAAATCAAATCATCATTTTAATAATAAAAATGGTTATTTTGGTTTTACTAATCCTACTAATAATAATCGAACAAATTCATTATATCCAACATCATCAAGTCAGCAAACATTTTATCGTGATACACCGATTGAAAGTATACCAACATCGGATGAATCGATACCACGTACAACACCTACAAATAACAACAACATTAATAATCAAGGTCCAATGGATAATATATCATCTGAAGAATTAATACCATCAATGAATCAAGATGGAAATGAACTTCGAATACAGAGTTCATCAAAATCACCAATTCAACAAAACAGTTCAACCGCACAACAACAACAACAGCAAACTGTACGATTCACTGATAATTGGATGTAATTTAGATGATTATTACTATTCCTAAAGGATATTTCAACCTTCCTTCTAGAAAAAAAATTATTTATTTTGATACAAAATAAAATTCTTTCGTTCCACTCATTTTTAATCCAGCTATTAATGAATAATGATAAAAATAAGGGTAATGTATATATGTGTGTGTATGGATTGTCAACATTTCGAATTATCCATCCGTATTATATATTATAATAATCGATAAATTTATATTATAATTTAGTAGAAAAAAAAACATTGCTTTCATTAATTGCAATCTCATTATCTTTCTATAATATAATAGAATATATAATGATGATAATAATAATAATAATAATAATATCACAGCTTTTGTATAAGTACAGCTGAAGCACCACCACCACCATTACAGATTGCAGCAAGACCAAATTCTTCCGGATTAAGATGATGTGCTAGAATGTTGACAATACGTGCACCAGAACATCTATGCAATAATAAAGGATGATTTTTGAAAAAAAAACTATGAATTAGGAATTACGAAATGTATGACATACCCAAGTGGATGTCCCATACTAACGGCTCCACCATATGGATTAACTTTTGATGGTTCAAGACCAAGTTTTTTGATATTGGCCAAACCAACTGTACTGAATGCTTCATTCAGTTCCCAATGAGCAATTTGTGATTTCGAAATACCAGTTTTTTTAAGTAATTTTTCAATAGCATAGGCAGGAGCAATACCAAAATCTTTTGGTTCGATTGCAGCATCGGCAAAACCAATAACTTTTGCCATTGGTTGATAATCATATTTTGATAATGCCGTTTCAGACATTAATATACAAGCGGCGGCACCATCATTCAATGAACTTGCATTTGCAGCCGTTATTGTACCATCTTTTCGAAATACAGGATTAAGATATGGTATTTTATCGAAATTAACTTTTCCAATTTCTTCATCATCGGTAACTGTTACATCGGGTTTTCCTTTACGCCCGGGTATAATAACTGGTACAATTTCTTTTGCATGTATACCCGTATCACGTGCTTTAGCTGCACGTTGATATGATTGTCTTGCAAATTCATCGGTCTCTTCACGGGTTATATTGAATGTTTGTGCAAGATTTTCCGTACAAACGCCCATATGAATTTGATCATATGCATCGGTTAGACCATCACGAACAACACCATCAACAAGATTAACACCACCATACGGTGTATTACCTAAAGCAAATATTTTTTTTCGAAAGAGATGAGAAGAAAATGTTTGATTAGATAAAGTAAGACAAACTAATGAAAGAGAAAAAAGACAGGATATATAAAAAAAAGTAAAAATAGCATCTTCAATTAGGTCATCAACAAATAACCTAAAATGGACACACAAACAGTTTTTTCTTCGGGCAGTAAAAGTTTGTAAAAAAAAATATTATGAAATTTCAATCAAATAATTAAAAATCTGGGTTAAATCACAAAAAAACATACCTCTTGAAAGATAATATGGAACATTTGACATGCTTTCGAAACCACCAGTTATAACAATATCATTATCACCAAGCATAATACTTTGTGTACCAAACATTAATGCTTTCATACCGGATGCACAAACTTTATTGACTGTTGTACATGGTGCAGTATTTATAATACCAGCACCTAATGATGCTTGTCTTGCTGGTGCCTGACCAATATTTGCTTGTAATACATTTCCCATAATAACTTCATCAATATCATTACCCGAAAGACCAATATCTTCTAAACATGCATGTATAGCAATTGAACCAAGTTTTGTTGCCGATAATGATGAAAGTGAACCTTGAAATGAACCTAATGGTGTACGTTTTGCAGCAACAATATAAACTTCCTATGTTTAAAAAAAGAAAAAATTCAAATTTCAAATGAAAAAACGATCCAGAAAAACAAAACAACAAACCTTTTTAGCTGGCGACATGATCGGCTATCTTGGGATTGATTATTTAGAAATTCAGAAAAAAAAATGAAAATTTAATTCAATTTTGTTCAAAAACAACAACAACAAAAACGACAACAAATAATTCTGAAACAAACAAAACAAAATGAATTAAAAGAAAATCAAAATAATGAAAAAATGGTTACCAACTTTTTCGAAAGTTTATGGTGCTAAATTACCAATTTCCAACTTCAAAGTGATGATGATGATGATCAACGTACAGTGAATACTTTTTTCTTCTTCTTCTTTTCTCTTTTGGTTCGTGGATGATGATAAATGCTGATAAGAAATTCAATGTTTGTTGAATAGAAACAACAACAACAAAAAAAAAGAAAGAGAAAGAGAGTTATGGTAAGCGAAAATTCGTTGGAATTGAAAAAAAATCAAAAATGAAATGAAAAAAGAGTAAATAGGTTGTTGTTGATCACCGAGACACTGAGACAAAAAAAAATTCCATTAAAAAAAACTAATTCAGTTCTTTTTTTGAAGTTTAAATTTCAACAATTCTTATATCTCGATATTCTGTCATTTTCGCTTTTTTTCATACTTCAAACTAATTATCAATATATGTACGAAATATTTGGTAATTTGGTTGTGATTTTCTTCTTGATTTGGGTTTTTTTCTTTTCTTCAATTTCGTTGGAAATTTATTTCATTTCTTCAAAATAAACATTATCAGATCGATTGATCGATGAACTATGTTAATGCGTTATCGAACCGAACAAGTCTTGGATAAACGACAACTTTTCAATGTTTGAATTTTTTTTTTCAATTTGCCCAGTAAATTTTTCTCTCTCTTTTTTTTGTGATTAAAGTTTTTTCTGTCTTTTTTTCTGGTTTGCTTTTTTGTTGATGTCTTACTATAGATATGATAACGATATTGATGACGTTGATGGTGATTCATTCATTCAATGTACAAAAAAATGATGCGGTTAAAATTCGAAAGACAATGATGAAATACGGTTGTTTTTTATCTATAAAGATTTTTGAACAGAAAAAATATTAGTTTTTTCAAAAATATCACAAAGTCAAAAAAGAAAATTTTACCTGAATTCAAGAATAATTTCATGTGAGATTATAACCATAAACACATGATGAGTAAATGAATTTTCAGAACATTTTTTTTCTCATTAATTTCGGGCAAATAACCGAATAACAAACACAAATATTATTATTCGTCGAATAGAAACAAAGTTGAAAAAAACACGCGCACTAAATGCATTGGAAAACTAACACACACATTTTGTATTTTGGGTATTATTCTTTCATATCATTATCATCATCATTTCCACATTGAACTACATATAAACACAAACAGAAACAGAGAAACATACACACACTTAAACACATAGAAATCGTATGATTTTAAATTGTAACAATTGGCGTACCATATAAAGCAATGGAATGGGGAAGAGAATCAACGACAACAAAACCAAACAAAACAAACTTGATGATGATGATGATTTTAACAATGTTGAAAGAGATAAAGGAAAAAAAATTATCCGGGGTAATTGTATTGATGATAAAATGGATGATCAATTTGTTGATAATTGTCGTCGTCGATATAATCGTAATAATCGATTAAAATTAATAGATTTTAATGGATTTTTTCTACAAATTTTTTGTTCATTGATTGGCTTTACATTCGATTCATTTGATAGAATTCGATTTCGAATATAGGATTCTTGTCGATTCACAGAACGTAATTGTTCACGAATCAATTGTTTTTGTTCGGTAAAGATTTGATAAAATTCATCATCATTATCATTGCGAATTTGATTTTGTTTTTGCAATAATGATTTTCGATAATTTTCAATTGTTATTATCTTTTCAAGCGTACTGATAAGTTCGGATCGTTTTTTATCAATTTCAATCAATAATGGTTGAATTTGTTTACGATTTAATTCTTCAAGTTCCAATTGATTTTTTCGATTGATTAAATCATTTTGAATTTTTTCATAAAAAATTTTCACTTTTTCATTTGATTCGGTTATCATTCGATTTGTAAGGTCTTTATTCAATTTCAAATTAGCACGTCGACGACGTTTTTGTTTCGTTTTTCTGGTTGAATGATTGTCCATTATAAAATTATTCAATTTTTTTTTTTGGTGAAATTTGAATCCGAATTCGAAGAAAAGCCCGAATAACAAAAAGATTCTAATCGACTATTTTGACATGGATATATGGTCCAAGTTATAATAGCATTCGAATGTTTCATGTGTTTTCGATTTGATTTGATCCAAGAATCAATTTTTTTTTTCAAAAAAACAATGGCAACATTTTTCCTAAGAAATTGTCTTCGATATTATCCTGTTAATGGTAGATTAGCCATTTCTAGATTACCACAAATTTCACAATTTCATAATACATCATTTCGATTCCAACAACAGGTATGAATAATGCGGAAAAATCTTTGAAAAAATCCTGTGTTTTTTTTCATTTCAATAGGAAGAATCATTTATAAATAATTCACAATTTACTGGATATATACCAATAAATCAATTAGATATTAGTTATTGTACAAGTTCAGGACCCGGTGGTCAAAATGTTAATCGAAATTTTACAAAAGTTACAGTAAAATTACATTTACCAACAGCTAATTGGATACCTGATGATATTAAAGATCGTATCACCGAATTGGTAATTTGTTCATATTTCTCTCTTCTTTCGCAATCAATTGATAATGATTTCTGTTTGAATAAAATAGCATAAAAATTCCATTAATAAAGATGGTTATTGGCTAATACGATCGGATAAAACAAGACAACAATTATTAAATGTAGCTGATTGTATGGATAAACTTCGTTGTTATATTGCCGAAGCAGCAAAACCACCAAATTTGGAACCATCATTTGAAACATTAGAAAAACAACGTCAAGATCGAGAACGTGCTTCTATACGACGTTTAGAGATGAAAAAACAACGATCAATATTTAAAGCACAAAAACGAATGGAATTTTGAACATGGATTTTGGCCATTTGTTAATTTTGTAGTAAAAAAATTTTCTTATCATTCAAAATGATTCATGTTTCTTTCTTTCTTAAACTATCGGGTAACTCTTGATTCATAAAAGCAAACAATGCTGTTGCCGGACCAACACCATTACTACTATCGGTTATTTCAATTTCTTCATTCAAACTTTTCAAAATATTTGATACGGCATTATATTTTAGATCATTTTCATCATCATCATCATCAGAATCTAATTGTTTTGGTGCTTGTTCAAAACTATTTGCCAAAATTGTTTTCGATAATTCTTGATCCATTCGGGCAATATAGGCTTCCATTTCGGGTAATTCTGATTCATCATTACAATCGTCATCATCTGTATCATCATCATCAACATCGGAATCTGATTCCTCCGAATTATCCGATTCTGTTTGAGCCATTTTTCGAAAAAATTCAACAAATTCTTTTTCATCAAATTCTTCAATTAAATTGAATTTTGATTTACTTTTGGCATCGTTTGGCAACGCTTGTGGTAGCTCAACACCATCAATACCCGAATCTTGATTTTGAAAAAATTTTTCCAATGTTTTCGGAATATTTTCCACAAAATTATCATTCGTTTTAGATGATGATTGTTGTTGATTAAATTTGGCATTCAATAACTCATCAAATTGCTGTTCACTGTTGATATTCAACCAACTATCATCATCTTCAGGTGGTAATGATGATTTGTTTTTTAAAAATTCTTCAATCAATTCTTCGGTTAAAATAGTGGTCAGAAATTCGTTGACCACTTTGCCAGCCTTCGATTCCACAGTATTCTTCATCATTTCTGAATTTTGCAATAAAATTTCAAAACCGGCAATAATTTTTACGCCATTCAACAAATGATTGTCATTCGATGATGACGGTGACAATAATTTCTGAACATCATTAACATCTTGTGATGTTAACTGTGCATAAAGACAACGAGTAAATCGAACATTTGTCAGAATTTTTTGATCATTATTGAAACGATGGTGATTTGTTCCAATCGTTTTCAAATCATCCGGTGTACGATAATAATATGAACGAATAGCAGCCGAGATTAATTCCGGGTGATAATCCAATAAAATAACCAATGATATTGGTAATAAACAATGTGCATTATGATATAATCGTTGGATATTGATTGGTTGAAATATTTCTATTCGATTTTGAATACAATGTTGTATTGATTGATTTAATTCAGTTTGTTTCGGATTTGATTCAATAAATCGAATACAATCCCATATGAATTTTCGTTTGTTCAAATCTTTTTCAACAAATTTTGATGATACCAGATGAATTTTACCGCGATAGATAAAAACACGATCCACTGTACGTGATGGTTCTTGTGCCCATCTGGGTAGATAATCAGCCGATTCAATCAATAAAAATTCACCATCTTCATCTTGTATACGAACGAAAAGTTGATCATCAAATTCGGTTAATAATTTTAATAGAAAAACAATAAACCATTCATCATCAATATTTTCACCATAATTACATTGACCAAATAAATATTGTTCGGTTTGTTGATCATAAGATTTTTGTTTCAAATGAAAACATTCATTATGCCAAATATATCCATTCAAATGGCTAGAAAGATGTTTTAAATAACGATCAATCAGTGATGATGATGGACATTCATCATGACCACGACGACGATAAAGATGATAATGAACGGTATTTGTTTCGGGAAAATTCATTTTGTAAATCCAAAAAAGAATTTTTCGAACCAAAAAAAGGCAACACTTTGTTGAATCGTTTGGGTCGAAATAGCAAGTTGGAAACGTTCGAAATTTTTTTTTAAACCAAAAAAATTTTTTGTTATTTCAACGAAATTTCCAAAAAAAAATATTTTACAAATGAAAAATTATGTCTTTAAATTATATATTTTTTCTCGATTTGTTATAGTCGTTTTACAATATTTTACAAATAAAAAGTTCTGATAATATTCTGAAATCTGTGTGTATGTCTGAGTGTTTTTCGTTCCAGAAAGAAAAAAAAATTTACAAAGAAATCAACCCTGAAAAATCCCATAGGATCAATTTCCCCCCACCAAAAGAAAAAATAATGTTGATAAATTGAAAAGTATAAAATGTGTTTCGTTTTTGTGTGTCAAAATTTCAATAAATTTCGATAATTCCAAATGGGGAAATATATTTTGGCAATTCAACAACGACGACAACGTCAAAAGTCAAAAATCATTAACATTTCCTATCTTTTTCGTTTACCATGATGATTACTATGATTATGATTTGAAAGATGATGAAATTGATTATTTGGTTGTAATTTTTGCATACGTCTACGTTCTAAAATCATTTCATAAAGATGTTCCAGACCATCTTCCAGATCATCACCCGTTATTGAACAACAAGATTGTATATGCCATAAATGTTTACCATTCAAATCATTTAAACCTAATGCTTGTGTAATTTCATCCGGTGTTTTTGAATTTGGTAGATCATGTTTATTAGCAAATATTAATACAGGTACTTGTGCATTTTGTGGAAATTTTAATGTACGCATTAATTCAATACGTGCCTCTTCAAAACGATCATCATCAACTGAATCGACCATAAATATAATACCATCTGTACAACGTGTATATGGTATCCATAATGGTCGTAATTTATCTTGGCCACCAATATCCCATATTGTAAAGGAAACACCCTGAAAATAATGTAATTTCTTTTTTTAGATAGAAAAAGAAAAAACATTGAAAAAAGTCAAAAATCAGAAAAATTTTCAAAAATCAAAAATAATGTCATTGATTTGGATGATACAAACCTTGGATTTACGAAAATCAAATTTAATCTTTTCACAATTGAAACCAATTGTTGGCAATGTATTAATATATTGGCCAAATTTTAAACGATATAATGCAGTAGTTTTACCTGCTGAATCAAGACCGACCATTGTTATATGTAATGTTTGAAAAAATGGTAATGATTCAATCAATGATTGTAAACGTTTTGAAAATGTTGATCCCATCGTGTTTAATGTTTGTTTGTTTTGATTATCATCAAGAATAATGATCTTTGTGAATTTGAACAACAAAAATAATCACAGAACATGAAAGAAATGTTGATGATGATTCTTTTTTGCTTTTTTTTGGCGATTTTTATGAAAATGACTAATTAATTTAATTAAATTTTCTATTTTTTTTTTAGAAAAATGCAAATTTCATATGGCAATGGATCATTGTTGGATTTTTTCCTGTTTGTTGTTGTTTTTGGTCTGATGTTTCAGGTTAGGTTAATCAGAATCCAAAAAAAATCGATTAAAAAGAGTGGGGGGCGATGAAAACTTTACAAGAAACAATAACATCGACGACGACGATGACCACGAAATACATCATCACATTACAAATTACAATGGAAGATATGGCCAAAAAGAAAAAAAAATAACAGAACAAAATAAACATCCAAAAAAGAAAAAGAAAATTTCATTGAAAACTCGCCCGTTTTGTTTTTGTTTCATTCTTGTTCATATAGGACGTATGGAATTTTTTTGATTTTGATTTTTTTTTTCTTGGAAATTACCAAAATTCGAATCGAATCAAATCGATAATTATCATGATTGATAATTGGCATTTTGTTGATTGGTTTCGTTCTTCGTTTATCTTTCGATCTTTATTTATTCATTTCGAAGTTAATTGTCCGATCAGACAACGATGATGACCATTTTTGGTAAACCAAAACCAACGATAAACAAATCTATTTATAAACCAAAGAATGAATCTATTACTATTTATGACTTTATTTTTCCTCTATTTTAAACCAAAAAAAAAATTACCCGAATAAATAAGGAAAAAAAACATCCATGTCGGACATAATTCGGCAAAAAAAAAAACATTCGTCGATGATGATCGGTCGACGACACGATAAATCAAAAAACGATGATGATGATGATGATGATAATGTTGAACCAGACCGAATTAAAAAAACATTTCATTTGGATCATCATTCATAAATCAAAAATCAAAAAAGAAAAAAAAATGGGGAAAAAGGAAAAAACAAAATTTCGAACGTCAAAACCGTCAGCCGACTATTTACATTTCACACTCATTGAAACATACACAGACAAAATGTGTGGAAATAGAAACATCCGACCAACAAAAAAAAACATTCGAATTACAACTGATAATCGGATTTTGTTTTTTTTTTATTTATAACACTTTTACTTTTACTTTTTCATCAATAAACTTTGAATTCACATGATGATGATGATCAAGATGAAGATAACGAAATTGTTTATTTTTAAAAAAAATTGTACCGAACAAATCGGGAAATTCAATTTTTTTTTGAATCTCATAATTTTGTTGTTTTTTCGAAAACTTTTTGTTTTTTTTAAATGATTTTGAAAAACAAAACAAAACAAAATGTATCTAGGTCAAAGGTCTATTCATGCATTGATTTTGGCCATCATCAACAAAGTTCATCGAGTATATTTTCATTTGTCATTCAAATCGATTCTAATTCAAATCAAATCGTTTTTCGATTTGAATGAACGAACGAAATTATTGTTATTTCCATCCCCCTTTTCTCAATTTTCATTTGAAAAATGATTCTAAATTTAGATACTGAAAATCACTGCAAAAAATAAGCAAACAATTTTGAATGATAATGATGATGAGAAAACCATTGAAAAAACCCAAAAGGTATTTATATAATTTTTATTGTTTTGTTTAAAAAACAAACAAATGTTATGTCTAAAATGTTTTCTAATTTTCTTACAGTTTTTATCAAAATTTAAACTTTAAAGTCATGAGAATCATTTGGAAAANTTTCGTTCTTCGTTTATCTTTCGATCTTTATTTATTCATTTCGAAGTTAATTGTCCGATCAGACAACGATGATGACCATTTTTGGCAGACCAACAAAACCAACGATAAACGAATCTATTTATAAACCAAAGAATGAATCTATTACTATTTATGACTTTATTTTTTCCTCTATTTTAAACCAAAAAAAAAATTTACCCGAATAAATAAGGAAAAAAAGTCGGAAAACATTCGGATCTGATGATCGGTCGACGACACGATAAATCAAAAACCGATGATGATGATGATGATGATAATGTTGAACCAGACCGAATAAAAAACATTTCATTTGGATCATCATTCATAAATCAAAAATCAAAAATCAAAGAAAAAAATGGGGAAAAAGGAAAAAAACAAATTTCGAACGTCAAAACCATCAGCCGACTATTTACATTTCACACACACTCAGTGAGAAACACAGACAAAATGTGTGGAAATAGAAACATCCGACCAACCAAAAAAAAAACATTCGAATTACAACCGATAATCGGATTTTGGTTTTTTTTATTTATAACACTTTTACTTTTACTTTTTATTTCATCAATAAACTTTGAATTCACATGATGATGAAGATGAAGATAACGAAATTGTTCGTTAGTGTGTTTATTTTTAAAAAATTGTACCGAGCAAAAACAACAAAAATGAACGGTTTAAAAAAATCGGGAAATTCAATTTTTTTTTGAATCTCAAAATTTTGTTGTTTTTTCGAAAACTTTTTGTTTTTTAATGATTTTGAAAAAAACAAAACAAAACAAAATGTATCTAGGTCAAAGGTCTATTCATGCATAGATATTTGGCCATCATCAACAAGTTCATCGAGTATATTTTCATTTGTCATTCAAATCGATTCCAATTCAAATCAAATCGTTTTTCGATTTGAATGAACGAACGAAATTATTGTCTTTTCCATCCCCCTTTTCTCAATTTTCATTTGAAAAATGATTCTAAATTTAGCTCGAAAAAAATGCAAACAGTTTTGAATGATAATGATGAGAAAACCATTGAAAAAACCCAAAAGGTATTTATATAATTTTTATTGTT